TTGGAATAAAGTTGCTATTTTCAAGCATCTTTGGTTTCTTTTCTTTGGAAGGGAACAGTCTATGTGGTGCTAGTGGGTCAAGTCTTACTTATTAAAAGGTCATAACTTCTAGAAAGTTAAGGTCCCTAGTAATCCATCTTAAGTGTAAAGGAAAATTTTGTCCCTTAGAGTGAACCTTTTTCCTCTCATCAAATCAATTACAGGGATAAGTGAGAGGACTTTTCTCTGATTTGACAATTGGCATCCCATTGGATCTCTCTGGGCTAAGTTTGGTGATAGGATTCAATATGACACTGCCTTATCTAATCAGACTAGGTTAGTGCCACATTGAATGACACTGGATGGAATTGACCTATTGCTATCTCCTTGGAAATTAGAGAGCTCATCTCTCAAACTACTTTTGATTTTAAGCCTTGCCCTACTACTTCTGATAGGATCACTTGGACTTCTAATGCTAATGGTGAGTTTAGTATCTAGTCTACCTAGAACCTTTGGAGACAAAAGTAGCCTAAGGTTATCTGGGGCCTCACACTATTTCTAGAGTCAGTTTCATTGTGTGGATGGCTATGTTGGGTAGATTAAACACTAGGGATAGACTTGTTTTGTATGGTATTAGTCAATCCTTTACCTGCCCTTTATGTGGTCGGTCCGGGGGAAGGAGAGGAGAGGAGATGAGAGGGAAGGGGAGGGAGAGGGAGAGATCTTAACTATATATTTTTTAATTGTTCTTATTCTAACATTGTTTAGAGTGCTTGTGTAGACACCCTATTTTTTATCGCCCTTAAGACTTGGGCGCCACAGGATGATTACTCGATGATGAAAGTTGTGCTATGCAAATGTTCGATTTCTTCAGCAAGAAAAGCTCTAAATCCCAACCTTATACCCCTTTTTGGGCCAAAACTTTTTTTTAGACCTCAAAATCCTCTCTTTAAAAATATTTTTCAAAATGTTTCTATGATGTTTTGAGGCTCGCATTTCGTTAAAAGTTACACTTTTCGGTAAACCGAGTAAGGACAAAGTGAAAATAAATGGAAGAGAGGTGAAATCTTTCAAAAATATTTTAAAACATCATATTTAGAGGTTTGGAGTTGAAGAAAATTGGAGGAAAGGGAATAAACCTAGTTGGGAAAGAAGTTGGGCATAAACTATTAAGAGAGAATCGGGCAGGCTTCATTAAATCTGGTCTATCCTTTTGTACGCTTGGACTTAAGTTGTGAGGCCACCACCATTAGAAATTAGACTTCTAGGGCTTCATTTTACACTCAAGAATCTCCTAAAGACGAGTCTGGATAAGGGAGGTATGGCTAGGAGAAGTTAGGCATGAATCCGATTAGGACCAAAATTGAGCAGGCTTCACTAAAATAGGCATATCTTTTTTCACACTTGGAATTTTGATGTGAGGCTTCCATATTTGGAAACAAGACTTCCAAGGCTTCAATTTAGGCTCAAGAATGACTTGAAAATGAGTCCGGACAAGGGAGATATGCCTGTTTGAAGCTAGGGCCAGAAACTAGTTTTTGCTTGTCGGCCACTAATGGGCTTTGTCGGCTATGTGTCATCCAAGGGTGACTTTTTTCGGCCACCAGTGGTGGCCGGTCGGCCATTGGTGCAAAAAAGCCAGTTTTTGTGCAGATATTTTCCCTTCAGCTGTTCCACACTGCTCCAACTGTCCTATATTGATATTTTTGACCCAAGCTCTTATTTTTCTATATATAGAGGGGATTCTCTATTGTTTTAAAGGTTGGAAAAATTTTAGGAGCCTCTCTCTCTACAATCCTCTCTCTCTATAATTCTCTCTCTCTTGAACTTTTATGCATACAAGTAGAGATATACTTCTAGTTTGCCTATCAACCCTTAACCAAAGTTGCTTATCTTTGGGCTGAGGTTACTTGGGACCCTCTTTGAGCTCTAGAAGGTGGTCTTGGCCTGATTTAGTGCCTCATTTGTGCCTAGAATTTCCATTTGCTTCAAGAGGTATAACACTTGTCCTTTAAGCTTGTTTTGCCATCTTTTCAAACTATTTTTGGGCTGATTTTGAACTATAAAAAAAAAAAAATTGTGGCCTGAAAGTGTTGGTTTAAGACTATTTTCAGTTAAGGGGTGGTTCACCCTTCTTACTTCTTTGCTTGTAAAGCTTTGTACCATTTTTTTATCGCTTTCAAACCAACTTTTTTGGCCCTTTTAACCACTGAATTTTAGAGGTTTTTCAGTGGAAAAAATCTTATTTTGAAGTCCAAATTTGGAGAGGTTAGCCTCCCCTCCTTGTGTCTTGTTTGCATGCCTAGTTAGCTTCACATGTCAGCATGTTTTTCTAGCTTAATTTAGCTTTAGTCCAGCATGTTTTAGGGCTGTTTCAAACCTGTTTTAAGACTATTTTTAAGTGTTTGTTGTGTTTGAGCTTTATTTTGCATGCTTGTAGTGTAATATTCTTTTACCAGCTTGGTGTTTTAAGACTTTAAACACCATTTGTTTGAGTTGATAGCATGTTTTAGTGTTGTTTTGCACCTAATTTCAGCACTATAATCTCTTCAATCTCCCTCAATTCTTCACTCTTTTGTTTGCTTTGAAAGTGGTTTCAAACCATTTATTTTCCTAAGTGTGAAATGGAGGTGCTACACCTAATGATTTAATCCCTTAGGGGGTTCATTACCAACAGTGTATTTCTTCTTTCATGCCCATAGTAACTTGTGGTTTGAGCCGTATTTCCATTAGAGGACACTCACTAATAGACTAAATTGATTAAAAGATGAATTTGGTAATTAAAATGAGTAAATAAAATTGGCAAGTAAAAGCGTGTAAGATAAGCATTCTTTGTGTTACATTATATGTGTTCAAATCGGACGTTAATTTGAACACAAGGAAAATGGGACATTTCATACTCAAAATGATGAAATGTGTCATTTTCTTAGGTCACCATTACCCTTGATCATGCATGATAGGGTGGTGGTCATTTTGGTCTTGTTTGTGCATTTATTGAACTTGTACAAACTTGGTCTCTTAGCCATCATGCATGGAAATTACTCGGTTGATGGCTTGAGGGCCAAGAGTTTCTCTTTTTTGAGGTTGTGTGATGATAAGGAGAGTAAACAGTATAGACAACTTGTGAGAATATACTGTTTTGCTCTCTGTTGCAACATGGAAATGTGAACCAGCAGTGGCCGACCGGCCACCATTGGTAGCCGACCGGCCCCTTGTCCCTCTTGTCGGTCATCAGTGATTTTTGCACAATGTGTTAGTAAGATGAAGCAGAGTTGTTCTGAAAGTTGGCAGAATTTTCAGTGATCAAATGTACAAACAGAGGCTCGCAGTAGTAAAGCAGTGGCTTTTCGAGTGTGGAATCGAGCATGTGCATGCATATCTATCACTTCTCGGGGCTAAGTAGTTGATTACTTAGTTTACTTGCAATTAACTTGTAATCCGTTAATTAGCTAAGTAGTTAATTAGATGTGATGTAATTATTTAATTAATTAGCTAGAATAGTTAATTAATTCGGTCTGTAATAATTAGTTAACTTAATTAGCGTAGCTAGTTGGTTAACTCTTATTCATTCGGACCCTCCTTCGCGAGAGCATAATGTTGTAATAAGTGTACGTGTGTGTATGTCTTCCAACTCCACGTCTTTCTTCATTTTTATTTAATCGCTTTTGATGGTTAGATTAGGGTCATATTTCAAATTAGCATATCGCATGCTTGCATCCATTCATTCATATTGTATGCATCGAGGCTTGGCGCATCATTCAAACTGCATCGCTATTTCAGTACTTATTTGAATACGTGTTTAATCGCATGTTGTTTAAATTGCTTCATATGCCATATTAGTAGTCGAGCCTATTAATTGCATATTGCATATATTGCATTAGACACTTAACATAGTTAAGAATCATGTATATTTTACTAACTCATATTTTTTTAGTTTGGAGTACTAGGTGAGTTTTTAAGCTTTAGCATACTTGCATAAGTGTGAATGTTGTCATGATTAGCATGCTTGCCATGAGGCTATGTGCTTAAACGCTAAACTACATGAATGCCTGTGGATGAAGGCTTGTTGTTTGAATTGGAACGATTCAACAAATGTGCGTTTTAAACCCACTTTATTGAGTGACAAATCATGTTTTAAACCCACTATGTTTGGTGGCAAATCCGCAATCTTTAAACCCACTTGAGGTGGAAAATTCAAGCCATTTTCGCAAACAAACATGAGTTGAATTATTCCAAATTGAGCAAACTAATCTATACTGGCTTTGTGCGCATCACATAGTAAAGCTAGTTTAATAACTGGAATAAGAACACATAATGTTTATAAAAAATCATATCATGATTAGTAGAGGCCGATCTTTGATCGGGTGAGCGGGAGTGCTCAATTCATGACCCTCCCCCTTCGTACCTAAGTTCCCGAGCCGAGGCAACTTTGGTGATGACAAACACGTGGCCTTTGGCACGAGTCTGGATTTCCTAAATTTTCCCAAAATAAAATATTTAAGTGGCAACTCTGTATCTAGCAAAGCAGTCTAATTTTGGTATTATTTGATTTAAAAACAATTTTTCAAAAAGATTTACCGGATTTGGATTCTTTGGTGTTTATCAATTTCACATTGCATTTGTGAGATTAGATTCAGAACCACAGGAATCCGAACTGTGATGCCCTTATTTTCAAACCTTCCAAAAAGGGACGTGAGAAAAAGGTGAGTCCACAACTTGTTTTGTATAGTATTAGGCCTCGTTTGGCAAGAGGCTATTTTAGCCAATTAGCCAAAAAGTTACTAAATTAGCCAAAAAGTCAACAACTCATACCAAAAAGTCAAAGATTCTCTTTTCTCTCTACTTTTTGCACATCTTTTCGTAATTAGCCAAAAAGTCATCCCAAACATACAAGTTTTTTTTACCTACCTTTTTAGCCAAATAGCCAAAAAGTTACTAAATTAGCCTGTTCCCAAACGAGGCCTTAGTCAATCCTCTACCTGCCCTTTGTATGGTTGCATGGGGGAAGGGGAGGAGGGGGAGAGGGAGGGAGAGAAGAGAGACCTTAACCATATGCTTTTTTAATTATTCTTATTCTAACATTGTTTTGGAGTGCTCTTAAATAGAAATGCAATGTGTGGTGGCCTTGCAATAATTGGAATACTCTTGTTCAAATAGTGGCAAAGGATTACAAGGGTAATTCACTTGCATCCATAATCAAGAGATTGAGTTTTTGTTGCTCTGTCTAGCAAATTTGGTTAGAAAGAAACAATAGAATTTTTACTAAAGAGAGAAAGACTGAGGAAATTGTCATTCAGAGCAGTATTAGAATGATTAGGTTCAAATCTCTTACATTGATGAATGTCAAAAAATCAAACTCTGATGATTGGTTCTGTCAATCCGAGAAGCTTCCACAATCAATTATCAAACTATAATTCTAAGTGTGTGAGCTCTGATATTGGAGGGTTGCGTGATGGTGAGCATACAATGTATGGTTTGTGTGAATGTGAGTGTTGAGTGATGGTGAGCTCATATATGTGGGTTGAGTGATGGAAGCCACAAAAGGTAGTTATTCCTATTTACTGTTTTACTTTCTGTTTAACTGTATGTTTTGCAAACTGTCAAGTTGGTCTCAAGTTAGGGATGGAGGATTTGAATGAGTGAGCATAAATTTAGGACATCAAGAAATGATGTAAGCTTGAGGGTTGAGAGTTTGTACTACCGAAGTATTCTATCACTTTACAGGTGTTTATGGCTGGTACATTCTTTAGGGAGGTTCTTTATTGTGGGTTAAGTGATGAGAGCTACCTTATGTTTTCTAACTGTTTTCATGCAGGTTTTACACGTAGCTAGTACCTCTATAAGGAACTCTTTGTCGTGAGTCAAGTAAAGTAAGCCCTATATTTTTGCAATGCTCGTTTATGCATTATCCTTACCTGCTTTTCTTGCTAAGTTGTCTTTCTACTCTTGTGGGTTCAGTGACTTAGACTATATATTGTGTGAGATTTGTGCAGGTTACATCCTTATTTTCTCTCATTGTTGATTCATTCAATGTTGTGCTCTTTCTGTGTGGTTTATTCAGGATTTGTTGATCACTTTTGAGATAGAGTGAAGGAGAATCTCAAGAGGACTAAGCCGCATTCTCGCGCCAGTCTCAGTGCATCAACTTCTTATAGAAAGTTGTTTGTCTTTAAATTTCTTTTCTGGTCTTGGGTTTTATGCTTTTTCAAGCATACTCCTGCGGGCTGTGCAGGAGGTGATATTGTCCTGCTCATGGTTACTTAATTCAGTTTGATGATATTTGTTTTCATTTCTATCCTTTGTGGGCTCTACTTGGGGACCATGGTTCTAAATCACTATATCAGGTAACATAGCGGTATCGATAGCGAAGTATCAGTATCGGTAGTATCGGTCAGTACATATCGAGAATCAAGTGTCGTGATGGTGAAATTTTAAAAATCATTTCACAGGTTTTTCAGCTTTTTCTTTCTCGTATCGGTCCAAACCGATGAGAATCAGCCCGTCACAACTTCTGTAACAGCATGTGTAACGATTACAGACTGCTACGTACATAGACTGGGCCAATTCTCTTGCAATTTTCGATCTCAGTGCTATATTGGCTTGTATCCGCTGCAGTACTCCATTTTTTCGATACGAACTAGCTGATATGTAGCCTATCGACCGATTTTTAGAACTATGTTGGGGACCCTCTTTTGTGTACCTGTTCAACCCCTTTTGCATATGGATATTGAACAGGATGGGGGTTTATATTTGGGAAGACACATGCTGAAGTACCAAGTCCTGCTACAGAAGATTTTTAGCCTGATCTAGCTTGTATAGTATACTAGGCTGGTTAGGTTTTCTTTTTGTGGCTATTTATTATCTGATTTTAGAAGATTTTTAGCCTGATCTAGCTTGTATAGTATACTAGGCTGGTTAGGTTTTCTTTTTGTGGCTATTTATTATCTGATTTTGCTTGGGTTTAGGCTCTGTATTGGCTTGGTTTGGCTTGTTCTGATGGGGCGCATGAACAAGCATTATTTTATTAGCCTTGTTTTTTTTTTTTGTTTTTTTTATTTGAATTTTTTTTTTTCGTAGGTGTTTTAGGTGTTGTAGAGCTCTGGCTTGTTATTTCTAATCTTTGTATAGTTTCTGGTAGGGCATGGGGTTTACCCTTTAGGTCTCGTTTGGGAAGTTGGTTATTTTAAGTTTTGACAATTTTTATTTTTGACTATTTTTAGTAGGCTAAAATAGTTATATTTGGGAAGAATGTTAAATTTTTTTGTAGTTAGAGTATAATATTTGTGAGAGAAAGAAGTAAAATAACTATGAGTTTGATGAGACATTTTATTTTATTAGCTATTTTAATCTATTTTATTTTATTTTTTTTTATGAATTTTAGCTTTAAAAAAAAAGCCCAAACCCAACTTGCCAAACACCTTCTTGTATAGTCTTTCATTTTATTTTATGATTTATTCAAAAAAAAAAAAATCTTCGATAGCTTTTCGTGATGAATAGTGCTACTCAAGATAAAACATTAAACTCATTTTTCAAATCAAATAATATGATAATTTTTTGTCAAATTTTCTATAATTATCATCTAATTATATCTTTTACATATCATTAAATTTAAAAAGTAAATTTGAATATCATCTTCTTCTTACGATGCACCTTTCCGCTATCTAAGACTTAAATGGAGAAATAAAAAAGATAGTCCTAAGTTTTTCCAATCATCCGGCATAGATTTTCATCATACACCTTTTCGCTATCTGAGACTAGGGGTGGGTGCGGATCGATTGCGGCCACAGAACGTTCAATCCGTCATCTGTCCGCCAGATTGACAGATTGGAGAAAATCAATCTACATCCGTCCGCCAATCCAGTGGATGTGGATTGAGCAAATTGACTAATTAGCAGATAGATGCGAATCGGTTTAACGGTTTAAAATTTTATAAATTTTCAATATAATTCAACTTGTGGACTTCCTAATAAATAAATAAATAAATAAAGTATTATAGTTAATGACTTTAAAAAGTATTACAATCATTGGATGCCTCATCCAAAGAAACAAAGTTTGAAAGTTTAGAATATTACAATCACTACTTGTCTCATCCACATATTACAATCATAGCATGTCTCATCCACATAAAAGTATTACAATTTATGATTCTTAAAATATAAAAATAATTCAAACCACCAAAATTATGAACAGAACAGTAATAGAGATTATATGCCTCTGTATTGTTACATCTATATCTGTTTTTCAAAACAAAAACCATTATTTTTAGAGTTAGATTTAAAAACAAAAAAATATAGATAAATATTACATTGTTTTTTTCAATTCAAAAAATATATTCAAGTTGAAAGCTCTTTTTCAACAAAATATATTCAACATAATATTTAAATTCTTTTTCAATTGAAAATACAAATAGAATATCTAAACAAATTGAAAACACGGTCTTATAAATTATTAGGGATGCTCGCGGTTTGGCAGTTCGATTACGGCTAAAGGAATCTTAAATCCGTCATCCGTCCAAAATTAAGCGGATTGGAAAAAATCAATCCACAACCGTCCGCTAGTCATTCACATCCGTTCAAAATGCGACGGATCGATTCGATTTGATCGATTTGGACAAATCGATATATTCGTTGCTTACCCCTAGATTAAGAAATTATTAGGGATGCTCGCGGTTTGACAGTTCGGTTGCGGCCAAAGGAATCTTAAATCCGCCATCCGTCCAAAATTAAGCGGATTGGAAAAAATCAATCCACAACCGTCCGCCAGTCATTCGCATCCGTTCAAAATGCGACGGATCGATTCGATTTGATCGATTTGGACAAATCGATATATTCATTGCTTACCCCTAGATTAAGTGGAGAAACAAAAAGGACAACCCAAAGTTTTTTCAGTTATTTGACAACATCTTTCATAAATTTTCGTAATACAGTGGGGAAACAAAAAAGACAGCACCTGTGTCATTAAGTAACATTGGATTGTTGGTGATGTATTAGGCAGCAAGTTGAGATTGGCCATCGGACCACATCAAACAAAATTATCACTAATAAAATAGAGAACTAACCATCTTTAAAGCTGGAATCTCTTAATTTATGAACGCCCATTGCAGGGCTAATAATGGGTCTATCAAGACAGGCTTTGTCCAAATCCTGGGAATGCCAACAAGAATTTCGATCATCAATAGTTTTGGGATTTTACTAACCTTGTTTAAGGTACATATTATTTTATTTTTTTTTAAATTTATATATTTTACATGAAAATGTGTAATAAATTTGTCTAAATATTTTATGCTTTATAGCATGTGACACATTAATGAGATTCTTAATTTTCTTTTTATATATTTTTTAAAATTTCTTAAGAGAATAAACAATAAACACAACAGTTATATTACAATGAAAGTAGAAATCAATAATTCAACTTACTATTCTACTATTTAAGAGCTGTATTTATATATACATATATATATATATATATTAAAAATCTTTTTATATGTCAAGGGCACACATGAGGTTTAGCACTAACTTTGCGTAACAGGTAAGCATAATTTTCAAGTATCATGCCAAGATAGTTTACTTGTCAACTAGTTCTTTTACATGTGTTCAGCAAAGCTATAATATGGGTAAGTCGACACTAGCTTGTAAGTCACTAGAACATTGTAAACAAAAAGTCATTCAACAAAAGTAAAACAGAAGTTTGTTTTGAATAATTCTCATATGCTAGTAACTGATGAACAACCAGATATTATTTTCATTACAAAATAATAGTTCCATATCGGACAAGAATTGTATATTCTTTGCAATACATCAAATGCAGTAAAACATCATATATATGTATTATATATATATGGTCCAACCTTGTATCCCAACTTTTTCAAATTGCTAACTTTTATCTAAATTAAACTGCCAAAACTTAATTCCATTTACATATTTACATGTATATATATACATATATGATCTAATTCCTCCCAAACTTCATTAAATTTCCCATAACTAGTATTCATACCTGCAAAAATAAATTACAAATAGGATCTAATAAAAAAAATGCAAACTCTTTAAGCTGTAATTTGTGAATAATCATATAGAAATTTTTTTATTTTAAAAAAAAAGCAACAATACTATATACTCAAAAAAATTATTCAGAATTTCATCCAGAAACATTATTTCACGGTCCAGATTATTAGTGACCATCAAAAAAAATTTTTTTTTTTCCTAAAACTTCTAAATAATAAAAATTATGTAAGAATACAATAGGAAAAGTTATCAATAATAACAGTCCAATTATACTAACACTTTTACATAAGGTGAAAGAGGAGTCTGTGAAACCCATACACGTGCAAGGATGGATCTCTTCACTCCTATGTCCCATTCGGGTTGATTATTAGTAGTAGGATTGTTGTGAAAAAGTTAATAATTTGATGCCATTACTTTACATTGTAATTAGATTATGAATTTAAATAGAAATTTATAAAGAGAAGAAAAAAAAAAATAGACAAATGGAGATAAAATTTTATTTATATTTTTCTTAATTGTTTTGTTATTTTTTTAAAATTATTATTTAAACACAAATCAAATAACATGGTTTGTGATGCAAAGTGGTGGGTCATAGGATATATAGTGCGTCAACTCAAGTTCAGGTCACATTGAGTGTTTGTTGAAACTCAATTTGGATGGTAGAAAACAACAATGCTACAGACTCCCCTTACGGACTACCCCCACCGACCTCCAGTGTCACGTGTCGGTCTGGGATTAGTCGAGAACTAAAAAAAAAAAAAAATTATATTTTTTGCCCAATCATGGGCGACCCCCAGCACCCCCAGCTGGGGTCCAAGTCATTTTTCGGTAGAAAAATATGTTCAACCTCACTTTAGACCGATTGAGCTTGCCCATTTAATTCAATTTAAATGTAGAGAAATAATTAATGTTCATTATTTATAAGCATAATGCTTGAATTAACTCCTGTGTAAAACTTAAATTTGGGTTGATTAATTTGTATTCACCATATACAAAATTAAAGGATTAATTATTAGGAAGTCCTATTTCAAAAACTCGTGTTACTTTAGTCCCATACTAAGGGGTTGTTTGAGATGTCTTAAATAAGTACATTTTTTGACTTTTTGAACTAAAAAATAGAGAAAAAAAATATGATTGTTTGGGTTTGGATAACTTTTTGACTTTTTACGAAAAAATGTGTATTAAAAAATTGTATAAATTAGTGTATAGAAAAAGCTTATAATAGAATAGGCAGTACGATGGATGTTCTAGCGGTTAGCATGTGTAGAGTAGTGTATAGAAGATGGTTACCTCCTTTTCGGACATTGAATTGGACGGTGTTGTTCGGCCCGTGGGGGCCCACCACGGGTCCCGTTTTGCTAATCGGAACTGTTCAATGTGTAGAACTCGTCAACTACTATATATTTGTAAAATATCACGTTGATCGGATATTGATAGTTATCTGATCCGATTAGTTTTTGTCAACCGTTAACTATAACACCATCCATTTTTTATACAAAACTAATTTGATCATGTGGTTAGTGATATCCAATCAATGTAATTTTTTACAGGCATATACTACTCAACGATTTTTACACGTTCAACAATTCAGATTATCAAAACGGGACCCGTGCTAGGCCCTCACAGGCAAACAGTACCGTCTTATTTGCTTCTCCGCCTGTTCCCTTTGTACAAACGATGAGCAGCTAAAGTACAACTCACGTGACATGTGAGTTGTACTTTTTTTTTGGCAAAATTAATTTTTTTAATATTTTTTTAATGAATAGTAATAATTTTTTACTTTTTAATTTTTTTGAGATACGTCAAACCTACCCTAATACTGTTGGCTGTTGAAATCCCATTTCAAACAAATTTTACTTTCCTTTGATGATTAACCCTAATTTGTAAAGTTGTTGTCAAACCGAAAAATATCGCAATGATGTGAGCCACTCTTAGGCCAAGTTTGGGATGTTCCAAAAAAGCTAAAAAGTCAAAAAGTTACTCAAAAAGTTAAAAAGTTAACACTATTCACCAAAAGTCAACAATTACGGCTGCACAACTCCCAATTCAAATTTTTCCCTTCAAATCAATTTTTACAATTTTTTATTACACATTTTCCAATAAAAAGTCAAAAAGTTAACCCAAACATCCATATTTTCAACCTCAATTTTTTAGTCCAAAAAGACAAAAAGTGCACTTATTTAGTCTTCCCAAACTTGGCCTTAGTATTTTAAAATGCTATTACTTTCATTTTACACTTTAATTTTTTTATAAAATTTATAT